GTTTCTTCCTGTTAAAAGGGAGTTTTTCCTTCCCACTGTCACCAAAGTGCTGCTCATAGGGGGTCATATTGTTGGGTTTTTCTCTGTATGTATTATTGTAGGGTCTACCTTACAATATAAAGCACCTTGAGGCGACTGTTGTTGTGATTTGGCGCTGTGTGAATAAAACTGTCTTTGGATCTCATTGAAAACACATCTAGAAAAAAGGCTTCCACCCATTTTAACCTTGGGCAGGTCCATCGTGACCGCCATGGGGAGACACGGACCATTCAGTCCACGAACTCTGATCATGACAACCACTGTTGTGATCATGTGGGACCAGTAAGTCTAATGTAATCTACTTTCAGTCCCACATGAGCTGAACGTAATGACAGAGCCCAGTTTGAGCCCAAACATTACTTGGTCAGGGGAGATGTACATCTACATATAAATGATATTCCTGTTCCATTATGTGCCATATGAAGAGTCTCTAACGTGGCTAATGACCACAGAGGATGTATCAAGATGAAGTGTTGACCTGGCAGTGATGAGCTCATCAGTATGACACACACAAAGATGTGGCTACTGATGTGGAGATAAAACAATCAGGACACTTTGCTATCGTTAGATTTAGTTTCTAATCAACGTTTTTGAAAACTTGACATTTCACTTTTGAGCCCAATCTCAAAGCTGCTGAGATGGTCTTGTATGATCATATGACTGAGAATGTCCATAACTGCCCGACCGGGCTCTTGGTGATGGTGTTGTGGTGCAGATGCTTACCTGCAGGATGTGTTGTGCTGTTGCTGGTAGCTGAGCGGTGATGTAGCCAGAGTGAAGTTGATGAAGCCACTGAGTGTGCTGTCTCTGGTGTAGCGGTAGTACAGTCGAGGCACAAAGGATGAAGTAAACGCTATGAGGAACGCCTGAAAATACAAGTTCAGACACGTCGGCGGCTCATTTATAGGCTCATGATTTATGGTTGTGGTGCGAACAAAGCGTATGTTTTGAGCTAAATTTACAAATTGCCAAACAGGTGAGAGTGACATCGGCAGGGTTGGAGTTCGCATACGCTTGTTTGCCATTCACCCAGGGACCATTTTTGATCCGAGGACACCACAAGGGTTCGTCCATACGTAAAAACACCGAAACAGTCTTACGTTGCTCAGGACGGCCATGTGTGCGATGAACTGCAGGATGGGAAACCAGATGCCGATGTCCTGAGCTCGCTCTACCACCGGGCGACGGTATTCAGTCACAAACTTCTGAGCATCCAGACGGACCTCCACCCAGTTATTAATGAGAGAGAAGAGAGGAGCGAGGGGGCACGCCGCCACGAAGATGGTGATGAACCCGAACTGAATCACTGTGAAGGATGAGGAGGATTTACAGAGAAGACTCGTATGAAACACTACATCTCCTAGGATGTGAGGATAAACCCGGGACTCACCCATCTCCAGGTATTCGCTGAAGAGTCCCTCACAGACCAGCAGCTGGTAGTCTGCCTCCCAGGGAGAAGCCTCCTCCTGCCTCTGGGCCTCCTGTCCCGCCTCCTTCAGCTGAGGATTCAGCTTCCTCTTCTGCCACCATGACTTCACCTTCCTGCAAGTAACGAGCCCACATCATTGCAAAGCACCCGAGACTGCGCTGACACAAATCCACATAACTGTGCGTTATGCATCACTGTTCTCATGCACTTTGTTGTGTGTCTGTGTGTGTCTGTTTACGGGGAAATGAACTCCTGGATGTTGTTGATCAGCTGTTTTCCCACCATGATGACCAGCAGCTCCTGAGCCAGATCAATGAGACATCCACCTGCTCCACACTGTAACACACAGCCAGAGAGGCGGAGTTTAGTGGTTAGGGTTAGGGTTCTGCTCCTCTGGTTTTCCCGGGTCGCCTCTTGTTGCTATAATAAAGTGTCATTTTCTGCATGCGCGCCGCGGCGCACGACAACGTCTCTGTAATCGTCACATCATCATCACATGACCACAATCATCAACTCACGTCTTCGTTGCGGACTCCAAACAAAGTGTTGTAGTTTCCCGGGTAGCCAATGAACCTGAAACAAACAACCAATCAGCAGGTTTGACAAACCAGCCTCGGTGAGGTCATCAGTTTAATGACCAGCCTGCTCTGCGGCGGCTCTCACCTGCCTTTGAAGAAGGCGATGTAGACCGGAGACGAGTAGAAGTTGACAAACTGGAAGACGAAAACTTTCAGGATGAACATGTCCTCGTATTTAGTCTGAGTGCGATGCATCTCTGACAGGAACACAGACGTATTCTCGTTTTCATATCTTAGTGAGGACATCTCATTGACATGATGCTTATCCTAGCTGCTTACCCTAACCATGCCTAATCCTAACCCTAACCTGACCCTCACACTAAAACCACATTTTGAGTCAAAAATGCTTCAAACTTTGTCCCCATAAGTGACTGTTGGTCCCCACAAAGATGTCTAAACAAGTACACACACACACACACACCTTCAGATGAAATGAAGATCACGGCAAATTTAATTTGTCTATTTTTATATGAACAGTAGTGAAAATGAAAAACCAAGATTACTTAGTAAAAGCTCGTTAGCAGCTGTTATTTGTTATCAACTAAAAGTTCTTAGACTTCCTAAAATATTCATTAATAAACTCAGAAAGATCATGTTCACAGAATCCTACAGTTCATGAAAATGTTTCTTTAAACGAGGCTGAGACGTGGAGGGAGACTCACCCCAGCGGGTGAGGATGTGGGCCAGGGCGGTGTAAATCCTGGACAGCAGAAGGATGACCAGCAGATTCAACACTGACCCTGACAAACTGGCTATTCTCCCAGCCTACACACACACACACACACACACACACACACACACACACACACAC